AAGACAAATAATAAAATAGAACATTAAAATCGAGATGTGTCTCGTTGCATTGTGCGAGTACTTCTAGTATTAGAAATAGAAATAATATTTATTAAAACTTATTGAATATTTTAATAATATAATCAATATTGTGATATTTACAATGAAGAATTYGTTATAATTAAATATAATTTTTAGTTCTCTAAAATAATGAAACATCTGGTGAAAGATGCTCTCAATCAGGGACGGATCCAGAATTTTTTTCAAACGGTGACACCGTTTGACTAAGAAAATAACACTAACATGATTCGAAYTTGGGTCTGGGGTGGAATAAAAATCTTGCAAATCAACTMTACCAAATAAAACTTGTTTTTATTGTAGTTTCAAAATACATRGTGGTACACAACAAATTAATACGGTTGCACATTTYACAAACCTATTTTTTTTACTCTTCGACGGAKRAATAATACRATAAGAYGYGCCACCTATACCACCAAAGTACCGGGTCCGTCCCTGCTCTCAAAAGAGACATTGGGTGCCGAATAGCGATACTTCTTATTTTATTTTTGTTCAACTTTAAGATGTGTATATTAATTATATTATTATTTAGAATTTGGTGGATTTTAACGCAAGTAATGAAAGCATTGTATACAAATATTTGTCGTTTGTTGAAATTGTTGTTCCCATTAATTTGGAGTGACGATCGCTTCAGTTTCAGCACAACTTTTTATTCCATATCCACACGAACCTCGGACTGAGTCATAGACTTAGGCGTGAAGGACGCCTTTGATGACGATCTTTAACTTATGATAAAAGAAAAAGGAATTTCAAAGAAACTAATTTGAGGAATTTTTAAAATACTACATCATCATCTATACTATATTATAAAATATTTAACAGAAAATTCTTAAAATCATTTTTTTATACATGAGGTATTGTTTATTGATGCATATCATTTAAAATTCAAGATCACAAGTTATTTTGCGTAAGTATAATTTATTAAAGCTTTATTTTTGAATTCGTGTAACTAAC